TCATTCTGGGTGAAAAAAGTTATAATCACATGATCCACTACTTTTTTGCATAGGTGTGTTAAGAATTTTCATAGCCTGACCCTTTCTCAAGCAGGCTTTATGCCAGAACAAGGTTTCCTCTGGGACGACCCTATTTTATGCTGGATCATGTATGGCTTGTCCTGTAGCACCTGCTTAAAGCATATAAGCCTAAAGCTGGCAGCAAGCATGAAGCTGGCACAAGAACTACATCACGTGTCTGTGCCTGATCCAGATGAAATGTGAACTACTGGGTGAACGAGTAGTGTGTAGTCAGAGTATGAATGGTTATTCAAATACTGTCTGGGAGTTCTGCCACTGACTGCCAGGGGCCCTAAATTTCTACCCACTCAATTCATGTGTTTAAAATTTAACATGTGAATCAATGTCAAGTTCAGTAAGGCACAAAGAAATGAAGCTATTTCTTCCCGTCTTTTATTTTGCCAGTCATACCAGATTACCAGCAAAACAAACATCAATTTTCAGTCACTTTACAATTGCTCATTAAATGAACTACACAACTGATCAATGAACATATAAACCACTATTGTTAATAATGCCATACCTTTCCTATTCAATCTTTAAAGAAACAGAATACAAAAGTAATAATAATAAGAGAACAGAATTGAATAGTAAATATGTGAAACTATACAGTCTTATCCGATGATATGTCATTTAACCCTGGCTCTTTTACCTTGAATTATATTATCACCAGAATCTCTAAAGACCTTAAGCATAGATTTTAAGTATATTCCAGATTATGAATGACTTTTTGTATCCTGCATTAGTAAAATTCATGGAAGTTTACACTGAGTATTATTTATTCTCATTTGTGTGGTGTACAGATTGTACTTAGAAATTACTCAGTACTTTAAGAATTTTTTTGAACATTAACAATATTATCAGTTAAATTCACCCTATTTATTTTTCATGGAAGTTCTCACACAGCAGACTATTAGAAAAAATTGGCTCTTAAATTCAAGCTAACAACATAAATCCTAAGCTTTACTGGCCATTGTGAAAAGGGTTAAACCACTTTTCCCTTGCCTATACTCAAACTCCAAAAAGGGCATACATTCTCTGAAAAAAACATCACATTTGGTTCCCAAGAATCCCACAGGGATATAAACTGATGACAGAGCAGGTGCAGCACAGAGCACCTAAGACATCTACAGTCCAACCTGAGCCCTCCCCAGGGAACTGCATTTACCTGTTAGGTGATGGGAAAGTATCTGCACTGTCATGTTGTGTTCTCCACCCACACCAAGGTTGCACCCATCCCTGAAGCTACAGTAACTGCCTACCACTGAGGACATAGTTCAAAGTATCCAGTTTCTTCAAAGCAAAAAACCTTCTGTCCTCTAGTCTTTACAGAATATAAAAGCTCTAAAAGAATATTACCTGGATTTTCAACTGATACTGGCATGGGATAAAATTCATCTAAAGCATAGATAGCTTCTTCATATAGGCTAGAGAGCTAAACTAGTCACCACACTCAGTGAGGTCCAGTTATCTAGTTAGCCGGCCAAGTGCAGGTATTGGCTTTGCAATGAGATGGGCTGCTCTCCAGGTTCTGGGCACTCTAGGCTCTAGTGCTCTCTAGGCATGGAGGCATCTCCACAAACTACAGCAGGAGTTTATACACTGAGTTCATATAGAGACAGCAGCGTTGTAGGCTGCTACATTTTGATATCTTCATCAGAATCTGTACAATCCCATGCTCAGTGTTTTCAATACATTTCTGGCTATTTTTAATAGTTGTTGCTATAATTCTTACTTTTGGCAACCTAATGTGACAAACCCATAACATTTTCCACAATATTTTCTGTGAAATGAAGGAAGAAATGAAAAGCGCAGGTGTAAAAAGGAATCCAGAAGAAACAAATAATTCACAAAACACCTTCAAAGACACCAAGACATATGTATAAAATGTCATCTCAGCAAACACTATGTTATTTTAGCACACAGATGCACATTTTTTTCCTAATTCTGGAAAGAAAATGTCTTTTTAAAAAGTCTGAAAATCATCTTCAATATACAAAAAGAGCTAAAATGGAGATGTTTCTACACAAATCCACCACTCTAAACAGAGCTGTTGCTACATGACCTGATGTTGATGGGGTTTTTGGCAGCAGCAACATTTTGTCATCAAAAGCTAACAGTTTAAATACCACTCTACAAATACCTCTAGTGAGCAGCAAAGGCCTATTTCTCTGACCAACAGAAAGAATATCCACTAGAAGTCATTACAGAGCATGGATATGTAATCCAGTAATTTCATGACCTGCATCTGTAAGTAAGTCTTCCAAATGCCATTACTCTGTGCTAAATTAACTTGGGCTGATTTAATCAAATGAAAGCCCTGGATAATTAATATAAACTAGAATTTCCTGAGCCATTATTTTCTATCTTCCAAAACCTAAAAGCATATGCTGATTTTACTGGCTAATTGTAACTGGCAGGTCATTTGCAGAGCAGCAAAATCAAACCACTTCAGGATGAGTACAATAAATTTAATGTATTCATCTGTGATCCTAAACTCACAAAAACATTACCCTAAGGAGATTGATTTATCAGGTCACAGCAAGTTTCTTTACAACCTTGACTTATTGACTGCAACATATTAGGACATATATTCGGGTGAAAACTAGAAAAAATAAAAGAAATACAAACTAAAATAGCCAGCTTTTAGGTAGGATATTTGGAGTTTGTCTGAAATTTTTAGCATTATTATTTTTCTTTAGTTATTTTCTACAGGCAGGACTAGGTCATAGTGTTATTTTCACCTGAAGAATTTCTTTGAAAGCACTTGGGTTACTATAGAACAATGGAAGATTTAGCCCATTATGAAAAAATGGGCTTTACCTTTTGTTTTATAAACACAGTTCATATGCAGACATAAATTCTCCTCATTTCGCTCAGAACATTTAAATAAGCTTTCCCATGTTTGTATGACCAAGTTTGAATCAGAGTTTGCTAAGCAAATGAGTAAAGAAGACATCTATATTTATCCTTTATATTGAAGCCTGGGTGTCCAAAGGTGGTTATTTTACAATCCAGTGGATTCAGTCACAAGGTCCTTCCTATTCCATACACATAGCAGCCCAGAGTTCATTCTCTTTGGATGTTCCTAATAAAGGGAAAATCTAACCTAGTTTTTTCAAGACCTTAAAAGACCTGTTTACTGAGTATCAGTGAGACTCAGCCATTAAAGCCACCTATAAATATACATTCACTGACACACATTATACTTTGCTGTCTGAAAGAGAGATACTGCCTAGCACAACTGGTGAAGACATGGTTTTTAGTGCCTAGATTCACCTTGATTGATTATGTTGTATTACATATACAAGAGAAGTTACAGCACAGAGAGCAGTGGTCCCTTCTGGCGCATCAGGTATGCCTACAGATTCAAGCAAGATTGGCTACCTAGTGTCTGCTGACTTACTTCTGCTAGTCCACGTACAGCACCACAGACTGCAGCATCTGCTAGCCCTACAGAGATCCCCTGTACATAGTACCGTTGTGAGCAAGTCCTGTTGTTAGAAAAACCAAAAGCAACACAGACACGCTTTTTGATGCTAATGCAATCATAAGATAGGTAGACTACACTTCCGGTTTCTCTTTCTTTCTAAATATGTATTTAGATGGACTAGAGGTTGCAAGTTCCCAGTAACAAGCCCACATTTTCTTTGGTATTTTTCTAATTTGTGTGTGTGTGTTTTCAAACTTTGGCTTCCAGCAGCTGCACTGCAAACTCAAGAATTCTTGCTTTAGATCTAGTCTCTAGTACTGTAAAATTAAATAAACACTCTTAAAAGTGACATATTTCTATACATGTATTTTACATGACAGAAATCCCAGAGGAATTCTGTTCCTGTTAACACTAACTAAAGAAATGACAGAATAAATCTCCAGCACAGAAGTTTGCTTCAAACTTGTCTACACTGCGCTTGAAGTCCTTCCATTAAATGCCTCCTGGAGAATCAAGGAGAGGAAAAAATATTAATAATTATTGTTTTGATGTTAAAAATATCTTATATAAAAGAATCTGTAAATCTTTTAGTAAGGATACGTCTTTCTTTCCTATGATGATTGCTTGTCTTTTTAAATCCTTTTGGGCCTCAATTCAGGAAAATACTTCAGAACAGTACTTAATGTAAAGCACAACCTCAATTTCCACTGGATCTGAAGTGTGCTTTTGGGTGATTTGCTGAATCATAGCCTGTATCATTAATGTTTCCTTTCAAATTAAACATTTTCACAGTGTAAAAGAAACCAGGAAACTCTAGAAGATTCTCTAAAATTTATTCCACTGAAAGGAAGGAACAGGGAGGAAAGCATCAAAACTTATAGTCCATCAAAGCACTGAATCTTTCTGAATATTTTAGAGGCTTCAGTCTTAGAACATTCACCTGACATTCCTAGTCCAGATTTACAAAGCTCAATTCTAAAGAGTGTTGAAAAAAAAGCAAAGACAAAATTCAACAATTATAAAAAAAGGCAACATAATTAATTCACACTAAACTTGCATTCAGTCTTTAAATAACAGGTGAGTGATAAAGCAAAAAGCAGGTAACACTGTCTTTCCAATTCCCTGGTAACTGGTTTCTGATGGGAGTTTGCTTCTTTTCAGGTTTGCCTCCTAAGATTTACGACCAAACATGAGTAACCGACACTGTCATTTTCCAAGCACCTTCTTGCCACACATCAGCCAGAAAAAAAAAAAAAAAAGAAAATACAAGTAGATAACAGAGGTAGAGAATAAAGAGGATGTAAATATTAAATGTCAGATTCACTCACAGGTGCAAACAAATGCGAGCCAGAGACTTTAGTGGAGTAATATCAATTTATACCTAGTAAGACCTGGCCAAAAATATTCCCATATAAATGGCTTTCACTTAAATGGCTTCAGTTTTAATAAGGTTTAATGCATGTCTTCACAGGAGATTTGCAAAGTTAGGACAACATAAGTTTCTTACCTGAGCTTTTATTGGTTTTGTTTTGTCTACTCTTTACTTGCTCAGTCCATAATGTGGGATAACGAGAAGCTATATCTGGAAAAAAAACACAACAGAAAAAAGTTTGAAAATGTTAACATTTTTTTTAAAGTTACTACTAGGTGAATAATAAGTGGCTAGTTTTAAAGATACATGGATATAAAAAAAGAAAAGGGCACACTAGTTTGTATTAGGACAGTTAAAACCTTTATCCATGCAAAGGCATGAATAGTTTCTTCGTTATCCCATTCATACAAATGGTTGAAAGCAACATTTTTAAACTAAAATTATGTTTCATCAGAATAAAAATCTCCCAGTGTGGGCCCAAAATATGTACTAACTTCAGATCATATTCTGTAAGATTTGCACTGAGTGATAAGGCAGGCATAATATAAGACTATAATTTCATGTAGTCATTGAGCTTTCCATTTACAGACCACCAAGTTTCACCAGAGGCAAATAAGCCTGACAAAACATCAACCTTATTATAACAAGGCAATCGTCTGAGGGCAGAACTTACCCTTTAACTTCCCCATTTGGCCATACAGTTTTAATTTTCACTGTGGTTCAAATTTAAAACCTATCTCTTCCCTGAGTAGCGACAATTAAAATTGCTAATGTCAGAGTCCATAACTACAGTGTCATCTCAGAATTATCACATGAGATTAGTTACTTATAAGTAAAGATTCTATTGTGTTTGCTGTTTTTATCTAGAAAAAGGCACAGATGTTTTCAATTTCTTGCAATTTCTTGCAACTTCCCCAGCAGTTGTCCTAACTCTTAATATAGCATTTGACATTGTGGTATACAGTCCATACCGCATAGTTTAATATCAAACAGTTAAGTTCCTGTTGATGCTCACCTTCTTCATCACCTTGAGGTTGAGTCTCCAGCGCGGGAGCTGAGGCATCATCTGAATTCAGAATGGAAAAGATTTGCAAGGAGACTACAATTATGAGAGTAAGCTAAATAAGTGTACATACGTGACTGATACTAATGATTTGCACATAGCCCCGGCCGGTAAACAAACAATAATTTAAACATTATTTATAGTTACTACATAACACAGATGCATTACATCTACATTATAAATGGATGGCTTTTGAGGTTATGGCTGACGAAATTATTGCACGGTCTTTGATGAGGCATGAAGTGATCAGGTCATTCCCTGGACAGTAATTCTTCATTTCTAATGCTGCACATTGATACCTAAAGATTATAACTGATCAAATCAGAATTTCTAAAGATGTAATTAGATAAATGTATAGAACGGTTAAGACCTGTGAAAGCAAAAGCAGTCCGGGGAGAATGAGTGGCTGCAGACATGTTGATACCTTGAAATGAAAGGAAAGTTTCTTTCGGCACACCAGGATCTATTTAACAGTCAAGCTGGTTTTATAAGAAAGATTTACAGGTTATAGAACCAGAATATTGTTTGCATAATTCTTATCCTCCAGTCAGTCATCTCCATCCACCCACTACCAAACATTACTGCAAGAAATGAGAATGGAAAATTTACTGAAATGATAAGAGGATGTGAGCAATTTTAGGTTCAGTAAAACACAGCGGAAATAGTGCTGAAAAAGAAAAATTCAATATGGAAAATTATTTAAATTAGCATTCAGTGTGAAAGAGCAGTACCTAAAGACCCATCTTTATCTTATTATGTTTTTGTTATTTAAAATTATTGCAAGTACATGGTAAACATGACTTAGTAGGCCATGATAGTACATATTTTCCAGTCTTTGCTGTTTCCTGTAACATGGAGCTAACTCCAACATCAAGGTGTCCCTCAGTAAACAGCATCTTCCATGCAAGTGCTTTAGTAACATTTCTTGCCCTTTCACAGCTGGATCTCAGAGCAACATAGTTTCCAGATCGTGTTCCCAGCATTTTCACAGAAGCTAGAACCAAAGGTAATTGAGAATCTTCCTCTTGCATGTAGCACCACCAGGTAACAGTGAGCACCAGCTTTGAAGCTAACACAATATTTATTTTAATTTCTTCTTGCTACTGCAATTCAGAACAGCCTCCTCCTGTTCTCTTTATTGTCACCATCACAGGTTTTTTTTGTAAATCTGTATTGTCTTTATGCAAATTGTGCAAAGGATTTGGAGGCACTCCGCCTCTGGAGGCCACAGCCTAGTTCACAGCAAACAGAGATACCAAGTAAATGATGATAGCAAGACAAAATTTGCAGCCATGGAACACTAACCTCCATGCTTTTCACAAAACCAACGCAGCATCAATAGAAACTTATTTTTACTGCAAAGTGTTTTAACTAAAGCATAAGGAGACTTCTTTTAAGAATGTTAATTCTTCACATCCATGCAATGACAGGATACTTTGCTCCAATGCCATAACAAATTGTCAGTTCTCATTAGTTTTGCTGGCATTTTTGTGATATCCTCTGGGTGGTGGAATAAGACCATTGATTAATTTCAGAGAGGCCTTAAAGTATCCTAGTGTACTGAATATCAAGACATATATTTAGATTATCAACCAGTATGTGATTCAGAAACCCCAAGATTTCAGAGGGTGGCTTATGGTAGGTAAATATTAATCAAGAGCGCTGTCAGAAAGTCAGGTTTGGGTTTAAATGACATTTTTCTAATAATCTTTTGGTACAAAATTTCAGTTTGTGACACGTTTGATCTTATGTTATTACCTGAAATTCAGATACAATGCTACAGATTTAGAGATTATCAACCCAATTAAAATTAGCCGCTTGAAGTTTGTTCAAGCAGCATTTTAACACTTCATCACAATTTTATTTCAAAAAAAAAAAAACACACAAAAACAAACAAAAAACCAACCAACCAAACAAAAATAAAACAAACAAAGAAACAAACAATAAAACAAAACAAAAAACACCTCAACAGACATTTAATGATTGAGTCATAAAACTGACCTCAGCTCCCTCACACCCAAAAGAAAGAGAGATCTGCTTTTGGTCATCAATGAACTAAACATTTGGTGCAGGATATCTGTATAATCTAAAAGGTATTAACTTCACTTCAGAATTAGAGGAGCTACAGCAGTTCCTGAACTACCCTTAATCTGCAGGAAGACACTCCCATTAATTTTCTGTTTGCACTGTCAGGTGTATCATCTTTTAATGAAAACCTTTTGTGTCAAGAATGAAGAAACATGTGGCATTTAATTGTTCAAAATAACATACAATAGAGAGTAATAACTGTAGAGCAGTTCATCTTCATGTTAATTAGATATCTCACAGTTTAATTGCATAGATCTTCCTGGGTGGCACATGCATACCAGTCCATATGTGCACACATTTAAACAGAAACCATTCTGTTTGCTGTCAGAGTTCAGTTACCAAGAACACAGTCCTGCAGTCAGCCAAGAATGAGAAAAAAGGGATGTGATACACCTGTGCTTTTCAGACAGTCTGAACACTTTTCCTGGATAGAGGAGGAAACTGCAGAGCTAGGGAAAACACTTTAAGAATTATTTTTTAAGCTTTATTCCTATTCAGTTTAATGTGCAAATTTGCAAACATGTAAAGAGAACTCCTGACCTCCAAAATCTGCAGCTGGAAATTTTCTTTCAGTATTGGAATGCCCAGAGAAAGAGATGCACAACTTCAACAGATATGGCCCACCAGATCACCTTCTCCTGTCATTGTGGGACATCTTGGAAGAAGAGTCTGTCTTAGGCTAAATCTATACTGTCTCTTGAGTACAGTACTCAAGACCACACTTGAAGGTCAGGATCACATCCTCTGCAGCAGTAAGAACGTCGTGAATCTGCCTAAGCTTGATGGGTTACAATACAGACAGGTACCCCCAACCAGGCACCCCTGGTTAGTCCACAGGAACATGCAGAGGAAAGACAAGCAGGGAGTTTTATGTTTATTTCAAAAACTACTGCTGTGCCCTCTCACACTGAGCTGCAAAATATTTTTTACTACACTGACTGTGAAGCTGAAGCACAGCTCTTTAACTCATAGCTGATCCTGTTCACTACCCTGTAATAGTCTTTAAAGAGGTTGTGATGTGTCTGACAGCACGACTTTATTTAAAGTATAAGGAAGAGACTGGCTGGAAGAAGGGCAGGAAGAGGCACTTAGCAGCATCTGAGAAGAGTCAGGGACCACCTGGTAGGCAGGTCAGCGGCCCTTCATGCTGCAGGCTTGTGCTGGAGAATAAAAACAGGGCGTGAGTAAAATGCAACCGTGTCACTTCAGACACTAACTTATGTGATGCGAGGAAGACTTGATAAATTTTGTTCATTTAAGTTCCCTGTTCCATGATCACTCATTCAGGGTTCAGCAGCTCAGCCACCACAGTCACAAACCAAAATAAAGAATTCCAGACAAGTTTTATATATATGGGATAGTTCATTCAGTTCAAAGCTGAGAATGAAAGTTCTGACCTAAAGCGAAGGGGTAACTTAAGGCTAGTAGAACCCACAATTTGTATGGAAATGCATGAAAGAACACTTTTCCAGTATTTTTTAATTATTAGCCTTTAAAGAACTACTTATTTTCTTAACCTAACAGTGCAATTGTTTACTTAAATGTTGGGTATATTACAATGCTGCAAAAGCTCCTGTAAAAAAACATATTTAAATTAAATTTACAGTGGACCAAACAGATAGACATTAACATTAGCATGAATATGACTAACTTCTTTAAAATTATTTTATGCCAGCGTAACTGACAGCAACATTTAGTATGTTATTTTCAGATGAATTTCAAATTCTTTTAAGTATTTGGAGAGTGTAAGCTTTAATTTTGTTTAAAGCATAGACATCTCCCTCATTTAAATCTACCAGCTAAGTTGGAATCACATCAGATTTTGTCCTGCCAACAAGATATCCACCATGGTCTATCTCTAACAACAACAATCATCTGGCCATGAATGTAAACCATCAGATGAACTAATCACAATATAGAGCAAAGTGCTGGGTCCAAGATGACTCAAGCACTGATTGCTATGGAAATAAAGTGAGGACTCCAGTTCCTGAGATTTTGGGACTGCAGAATGCTATCTTTATCAAACAGACAGAATAATCTGTCCGCCAGGGCAAGCAAACAGTATGGGAAAATATTTCAGTGTATGGCTATGGGAAGAAAAGTTATCTTCCAAACAGAACAGAGTAGAAAGTATGTAGGGCTGAGACTAGAAAAATATAATGTCTATGCATATATAGACAAATACATGCATACATATATATGTGTTTTAGTCATAAGTTTACTAAATATTTACAATGCAGACATAAAATGAATAGCAAGTATGCATGCATACATATTATATATGCAGCTATAGTTAATGATGAATATATACTGATAATTTAAACCTACGGAAAATCACAGTGGCGTATTCCACAGCTATTTTAGTTTCTATTTAAAGGCCATCTAAGATATTTACCTGTTTTTCCTGCACCTTCTCGTTGTGGCAGCTTCTCACTCACTGAACCTGCAATTGGAAAAAGGAATTAACCATAGAAATACTATTTTCACTTTTAATATGTTTTCTAAGAAATACAGTTCAGCTTTAATGATACAGGGTTTTTTTATTACAGCAGTAAATATCAGCACATCCCTCCCTTGCAAACCAAAGATTTTATCTTTGCCTGACTTCTGCACTCGCGTATGATCAGTTTACCGTCAGGTGCTACTTCTTGACCGCCACAGGACCTCAGAAAAAGATAACATTTAAACAATACAGAAACACAAGTGCAAGAACAGGCTCATGTGATGTGGGGTCAACATCTCCCTCCCCCTCTGACCCAGTGAGCACAGGTCCCACAGGAAGATGCATCGCCCGGGCACTACTCCCTTGCAGCACCATTCCTACACACCGAGCCTTGCCCACGCACCACGGCTGCTCTGGGGGGCTTCTTCAGCCTCTACCCCAGTCCTGGCTCAGATTAAAAACTGCCCCTTTCTGCTTTAAATACCTTAAACAAAGCCTTCCAGAAACCCTGTGCTGGTGCGGAAAAGTGTGCATGTTGGGGGAGGCAGGGACAGCGCCTCATCCTGAGTATGAGCCTGAGCTGGTTGCAGGAGACATGACCAGAGCTGTGGCCCTTAGGAAAGGAGACAGCAGTGGTGGGAAGGGACTTCAGAAGTTTGCAGGAGGTGGGTTTTAACAGCTTATTCTACCAGCCAGGACTCCAACCCAAACCAGCATTGTCTTGATTTCAAGTCATCAAGAAATGGAGAATCTACTGGTTTTCTTCCTACCTTTTACAGGAGGTAGTCATCCTTAGGGTTTAAAATAGAAATGCTTCCTTATTTCTCGTTTATGTCTCATTATTACAACCATTTGTATGATCTAACTCCTAGCTACTTCTTATTCACATATCTATCTCTGCTGCATTAAGGAAAAAAAAAAACAAAACAAAACAAAACAAAAAAAAAAAAAAACCCACAACTTTAAAAGTGGTATTTTTCTCTCTTAAGAGCTACATGGAAGTATCAAAAATTAAAAATCATATCTGTCAATTCTTACAACATAATCTCTTCCTACATATACACGCTTAAATGAAAAGTCCCCCCCACATCTGGCAGATTCTTGGAAGTGTGTGAAATAATTTCGTTGCTTTAATTTTCTTAATGTATTTCCCTCTGTAATAACTAAATTCACTCAGTTTAAAACAAATAAACAAAAAGACTCCAAATTTGCAGCATGATAAATATGTTCTAAAAGGACAATTTAAATAAGAGAACCCACAAAATCACAGGCCTTGTTTACCATGCTGAACTGATGGTTACTTCAGCATGAAGTTTAGACACAGGAGTCTGCCAGAGGGAAGATAGCTAACATCACAAATCTGGCATGTTGATTTTAAAGCCTCCATAAAAGAATACATCACAATGCAGCCAAGCTGGTGTTACTTTCTGAAGTATTCAGCTTTTAATACATATTTTATACATCCATATCAAAAATATTCTAGTTTAGACTTGTTTCTTTTTTTTGGTGGTAGTGTATATTTATTGCATTATGATTAAATCACCAGAAATTCAATATACTTAGTGATGCATCAGTATTAATTCAGACAGGAAAAATAATGTCATTATCACTGTAGGAATTATATCCAAGGCTGTTTGGGAAGGCTTGCCCTAAATAGACTGCAATACTAATCCATGTTGTTCACTCTGAAGAGGAGGCAGATTCTTGCATTTACACTAGCTGAAGCCAGAAGATCTGAGCTTTTTGGTGCTTGGCTAGAATTTGATAAGAGGCCCAGCTTGAACTCAAATAAGATGTTCCAGTTTTAGGAAGTACTGCATACAAAATTACAGGTTTTTCTAATTGCACTAAATACCAGTGTTCCAATCTTTCCTCAATTTCAATCCAGTTACAATTAACTCCGTAGTTTCTCATTTTAATTGTGATGCACAGGTCTATAATTATAATTCTCTTTCAAATACAGAAATTTTAAGTCTGACTCTTATCCACACTAAAGTGTTTTACACCATTTGTGAGTAGAAATTATCTCAGCATGGGGAATGTGTGTGATCAAATGCCACTGACAGACCCTTTGTGCTAAAAAGATTGTAAAAAAGTAAAGCCTCAGTTTGATACCAGTGCTGTGTTTTTATGTACATTAAGAACAACTATTATAAATTGAATTTATTATAAACTGAACTTAAAATTCAGTTTATAACTAAGTAATTTCATACATTGGTGAAATTATATAGTATTCCATATCTTAAACCAAAAGCAGAAAAACCTTTCCAGATTTCATTAACAGCAAGATGCCTTCAGATTACTCCATCTATAAGTGAAATGGTGAAAAATAATGACTATATGATATTCATGTACAGTCAGGGAGAATTGAAATCTTCTTTCTATGCTTTGCTTTTTTTTACCCCAAATTTTGATGGAAAATTGATGGACAGAAGAAGAGACAGGCATTCACAAAAGCTAAATTTATCATAGTGAATCTAATTTCACCATGAAATTAGATGAATGATAGAAAAATTAGGTTCATTGGGCTAACACTAATTTTTTAATAGTCTAAGGAAACTAACAAAAATATTCACAGAATTTCCTACAAAGGGAAATCTGCACCCTTCACACAGTTTTGCCTGAAATTTTCAATTTATGCAGCAGAAACTTTTCTTGTCTCCAAGCTGGAGGTGAGGAGGGGTTATTGAGCTTGTATAATTTTTTTCTACCACTTTCTGAATATATTTAAGGTAGAAGTACTTATAGCTCAAATGGTGATAGGAAGTTGCATTTGCAAGTTTCTAGAAAATTGTATCTTCAATACTCACAACAAATGCTCACATGTTCATCTAGGCAAGAAACAGAAATAGCAGCTTATAACTTCTCCAAAAGTTAGGCAATACAATCAGCTTCCAAGTTTTCAGTGCACAGTGAGCAACCAAATCACCACATAAATATATTTATGGAATGGGAGAGTGTAAGGATGATTATTAGGTTCAGCAGCGTTATTTTAACAAGAATTTAGTACTCTTCTAGCTTGTACATTTGATTAGCCATCTATCTGTTTATGATTCTGATTCATTTAAATAAATTTTTAAAAAAAGAAAAATGTTCATGCCTTAGTTTATAGCAAGCCCAACAATGTCACCAGTTTAACTCCAAAAGCTTCTGAGGCACAAAAAATCTTTTGTGGTTTGTGAATTTACCATATCCATTTTCTATAGTTCTGAACACATGTGACTGGGCTTTAAAAGAGAAGCTGAAAGTCTATTATTATCTAGTTTAGATAATGATTTCTGATCTCCTACTAAAGAATATTTGATATGTAATCACTGAATGCAGATATCAAGACACAGGAAAGTAAACTTCCTGTGCTGTTCTTTATCTCACATATGGGTGTGTCTGACTGCATATCTAGGGGAAGTACTGTCTGTGGGGACAGAAGATCTAGATGTTTCAAGGATGGATATTTTTCCCAGCTAACAAAAGCAATATAATGTAAATTTCAAAAGTTCATTGCCTTCCTAAATATACTCATTTTCATCATACTATCTGATGCTAATACTATACAGATAGGAAGAGTCCTGAATTTTTAAAGGTACTTGTATTTTGGCCTTAAAAGATGATTATGCCATCTTAATTGTAAGGTAGTAAAACTACTTCACAGAATAATAAAACATGTCTCCATTCTTCTGCAATCTCACTGGCAGAAGCCTGGAATAGTTAATAAGGCATAGAAATCTTACAACAGGCAAACACTGTATTTTCCAATGATAATTTAACACCTGCTCCTCAATTTCTGCCCCATTTCCCAGGATTTTGTGGCTGTGGAATTTTTGCAGTTCCCTGCAGTGCTGATAACAGAGATGGGGAGTTGTAAAAATGTCTTTTTTATGTCTGGTGTTCTTTAGTGAAAGTACTGGGGGGACATTCATCATTTTTAAAGAGTTTTCTTTGTAATGTTGTCATAGGAATGTGTTTGATTTACTCTCCTCGCCACTGCTCCTGCAATAGTGGAGATTATTTTCACTGAGTGGAATAGCATACTGAGATTTATCATGTGTGCTTTAGCAGTACCAAGCGTTGGTGTGGGAATAACTGGAAAGGATGGAAGAAGAGCGTCTTTCAGGTAAAGATGTAGTAATTAAAGCAAAAGTTTTACATAAATCAGTTGGAAAGTCCTGCAACTTTTAGTGCTGCTTATAACCTTTGTCCTTCTACACCTTGTGTCCCTAGTGAAAAAGACAGCTTCAATAAGAGCAATGAGACCAACACAATGAGCAAAAAATGGCTCATACAGCTATTGTAGATACACAAAAATATACATATGACACTTTTCTGTCCAAGGACCTGAGATGGCTCTAGGAAGCATCATGTTGTGCAGCTAACCAGTATTAACAATCAGATAAACTTAGAGGTTATTTCACCTATCCAATATCATACATTAAATGTGAAGCACAGATAGGGGATGGAATCAGGAAACCAAACTCCTAACTGCCCATCCTAAATTCTGCTCCATATTTCCTCTATAAAATCCAAGTTCTTCCAGGCTGCCATGCTCTTCTTTCCTATTTCTGGATCAAAATCAAAGGTGATTCTACTGGGAGAAAATGAAAGGCAAGAAATTATCCCATAATTTAGGAACAGCACAGTTGGTTAGACATGTATTCAAACCTTATCTGAAGTTACTGAAGAACTAACCTAGAATTGAAAAAAAACACCAAACATTTTCATTAAAAAGAGAAATTTTCACACATTCCATGGCGTCACATTTCCTGTGAGAAAATCATCATGAAAGCATCTTCACAATTGTTTCTACCTGCCATCTTGATTGTCTGTGCATATTCTCCTCTAAAGGGAAAAGGTGGCGAAAGTGATCCTGGGAGAAACAGTCTGGTACATGCAAACTGAGAAATTTGTGTAAATGTCTTTGAAATAGCTATAACATCATGCCTGCAGAATACACAGAAGCAAGTTAAAATACAGAAACATGCTGGTGTCAGGATTGCCACCGCTACAGGAGATCTGCCTGCAATATCAAAAACAAGGCTAACAACAACACAATGTATTAGACTGATTAGGGACAATAGTGTTGGAAGAAATGGCATCTCTGAAATACTAGCTAAAATAGGAGTACATCTACTCAATTTAAGTATACTGACTAATATTCTGATTGTAATTCCTGTGCTCAGTGGTTCTAAAGAAAAAAGTACAAAAGGGAATCAGAGGTGATCTGGAAAACATCAACAGTCCTTCTGGGGGAAAAATCCCTTCTGTTATCCTAAACAGATGGCAATTTTGAATATATACTGTGAAATGAGAGAAGGGTGCATTTGTGCTTCAGGTTTTCATTCTGCAATATAAGAGAAACGTTGTGCCTTATTATACCATATAACTTTGTGAGAAAATCTGTAGCTGCCTTCTCTGCTGAATTAGAAGGGTTCTCCAGACCCCTTAAGACTGAGCCCTTAGCCACTACCATTGATACAAGCAGGGGAGGAAATGTGCAGAGATAATCCCAAAGGGTCTCATAACCATTGGAAAATTATGATCTTCCATGGAGCATAATCAGACTCTGCTTACTCACCTGGGCCCTGGAGCAGTCTATTTATTGCTGAGCTACTAAATTAAAATTGAGTACTACTATCACCTTCTTCTTAGCATTTCTGTAAAACTAACTTTCCTTCCTACCCCACCAAAAATGAGCTAAAGCAGTCTGGCATATTATCTGCTAGGCACGTGAATATACCTTTAAGAGGAACTAGGATTTGGTTCCTGTAGAAGTAGAATAATTCTCATATCAATCTATTAATTAACCAGGAACTAAACTGCAGCTTCTCTTCAATAATACCAAATACAAATAGAAAAAGTGAAAGTACAGTAACTAACTCAGCAACATGTGTTGTGACACATCTGCCAAACAGTTACTTGTTGAACTTTCAGCATCAGCATAACCCCTTTTTAATTGATGTCAGCGAAAGGGAAGAGACTACAAATTGATACTGCAGAGAAAGCAATGAAGGCATGCTTTCAGAGAAGCTCTGGCTATGGACATGCAAAAGCACCCTTACTCAAGAATACAATAAAGCACAAAAATGCTGTCCTAACCATGTGTCTTCTGAAGATGTGACCCAGTTATAAACAGTCATTACACTAAAATGAATATACATTTTTCTCTATTTTAAGGCTTCTGAACATTTTATATTTATTTCATATTTGACTGTCATTCCACAGTGACTTTTCAGACTAGATCAAAAGGATTAGTCTGAGGAATATTCTTTCTGGATAAAGTTCACCTACAGGCAAGATGCATGGGAGATTCTCCAAATCACTTAAAACAGACCTTAAAAGTAGAATCAACTTTTTATAATCTTTGCTGAAACTTTCTCAGTGGTCTCTTCCTTTCACCATCTATTTATTAAAAACATCAGTATTGTGTTTGAATGATTGAAGTCAATCAGACCAGATGAATTCCTTCAAAGGCTTTAATCCATGTTTTTTTCAGCTTCATTTACACTACAGGGTTAGCTTTTTTAAACCTATTTTTTCCCCTCTCTGACACAGAATAGTGCTGCAGCACAAACAGAAATGCAATACATAGAGCTCAATTATTTTTAGAGCTATTTCTGTGTAATTCTGTCAGCCTTAAGGAAAGTGAATAGCAATTCTGGCAACTGTTCATACACTGGAGATTTATTTTTATTATCAATGTCAGTGAAATAGGGTCAGAAGAAAATTCCTAAAAAACAGTGAACCTGTTAATTGTCCTGATGAAAGACAAAAGGCAGTACACATGGCAATGAGTTTGATTTGTCAATTAATTTCTACAGAAAATGATTCCATTATGTTCTTAATGCTTTGTTTCATTTTTATTTCTCCACTGGGTTTGGTCATTCATAGAGTTTGCTGTGGGAGTTCTTTGATGGGGCTATGTTAAAAATCAGAACACTCACATTCCATATTTTGGGGGGGGTGGGTTTTTTTTCTGTACTCTAAAGAATTAAAAGATCAAAAAGCAAAGCCCTCTGAAATTTTTTGCAATGAGTCTATGTTCAGAGAGTTTCAACATAAAGTAAGGAGTACCTCAGCAAGTCAGGTGCAAGGTTTCATATACTGACACATAAATATCGTACAAATAACCACTGCAGAAAATCTCTTCAATAGCTAGATTATAGTACAAATTAAGTAGATGGATCATATAATCTAGGGAGGTTTAGGGTGGCAGTGACCTTAGACTTCATGCAGGGCTAGCTTAAAAGTCAGACCGACTTTCTCAGAGCCTTGTCCAGTTAAGTTCTTCAAATCCCCAAGGATGGGGCATCCAAAGCTTCCACCAGCAACCGTTTCTGGGCTGAACCACTCTTCCAGTAAAGAATTGTTTTCCTTAAGCCTAATAAGATGCCACAGATAAGCTCTACTATTCATGAGACAATGTCATAACCTGGCCAGCCAAGCGAGTCTTACCAGGGCACCGGGGAGTTTTGTGGGCCACAGCAGTACCACTGATAGGACGACCATTGGGAGTGACACACCAGCAGTATCCAGTATAACTATGGCACTGAACCTGTCAGAAACAACATGAACCACATGCAGTTTGTCAGACATATGTCTGTTATCCCACAGCATTCATGACACACGAGTACAAAAGACTATTCCAACAAACTATATTGACAAAACTTAGAACAATAAACCATAATGGACATAATCTGAGCCCTACACATGGTTCTTTAGCATAAAGAAGGGTTTATTTCAAGCGAAGTGTGGTAGGTCCTTCAGAAACCAATGGAAGAGAAAACTATTGAAATATGTGATTGTTTACACCCTATTTCAGAAGAGTGAGGTGCAGGTGTTATGAAAACCTCACAACGAAGCTCCTCAAGGGACATATAAACTGTTCCTGAAGCAAGCAATCTTGAGTTTTTTTCCACATAGAGAACATATTGTTCCACCCACTGAAGGAGCAGGACAGCATGCTTCTGCCAGCATTATTCATATCCCAAGCTGTCAGAAAGGAAACTCTTGGAATTCCTCTTAGAAATCAACTACGTTATATTTCCTGAGGGCCAATATCACTTCCCTCACCACACTTAAAATGAGAAGGATTGTCTTCTGCACAACTCTGCAACTGAAATGCAGTACAGAGGAGGCAGAAGGTGATCTTGATTGGAATATATATCACAGGGTAAGCTTCTAACTGTGTCTCTTCTGAATTCCATGATCTAAGTAAATTAGTCTCAGACCATATGCTTGTGCAGAAATTCAGCTGAGAATAGAGAAGAATCCTGTATGATTCATGCTTTAGCACTAAGATATGGACTGGTCACAAGATTTCTGGTTTGAATCAGCAACAGATCAGAAATTCAAAGAATTTTACTATCTGATGACTATTCAGGGGGCTACAAGTATGACTCAGCTGTCTCAGCCTAGAACAGGGAGTGTATCACATGCGCAACAGTAATGTTGGCTCTTTTGTTGGCCAACTCTGAAAAAAAAGAGCAAGGACTCGGCACAAAACATTAATTTTCCTTCTATTTTTTAACATCAGTGTTAGAACAAATTACATTTCATTTTGAAATTACATTTCCATTCATTACATTTGTCTCTTCTTCATTCTCTGCAAACACATATATTCTGACTTTCCGGCCATGCAAGATACTGAATGAAAAATTTTCAACCTGACTGTATGTGCCATCGTCATTGCATTCTGGGATAAACACTTGCTGAAATTCCTTGCGAGCTTGCTCCTGGGTGTACTTCCTCTCAGCCACACATCTGGAAACATCTAGAGAAAGGGAGAAGACAAGTCAGTTAGATGACGCAATATGAAGAAAAGATATGTGAAATATATAAATTAAGAAAAAGGAAGAAGGGTCCGAGACCCACATAAAGAGAATCATAATTATAATTATTGAAAATGTACAATCACTTGCATTATTTCTAGGGGAAAAAAAGAACAATGGAAGATAGTAATTTCTGGACAATAACCCAGAACTGGGAAATGAGATAGAGAGACGCCTGGAGAGATAACCTTGCTGTTCCAAATGCTCCAACTGCTGCCAAAGGGCAGAAGCCCAAACAGGGATTCTCCTATGAATCTAACACAGCAATAGCTGCCACATTGTGCCCCACAATATTTTTTCAGTGATGGTGGCAGCATTAGCTTTCTAATACTTCACGAAAGACAAAGCAGGCAGCAGGAGTATTAGCTGCCTTGTATTTCCTACTGTAAGTTTACACACCATTTACTGCAGTGAGGCAGTGATCTCAGTTGTGATACAGGTTTGCCTACCAGGCTGGTAAAAAAAAAACAAAAAACAAAAAACAAAAAACAAACAAAAAAAACAAAACTGTACAGCATAGGGACTTGTTGGGCACATGATTCAATAATAATTTTGGACATGCTTAATTCATATTATGCTAAAATTTAGTGTAACGGTTTATGATTTAGACACGGCACAAATCAAGTCTACCACATGGTCCTTTTTTGACCATTGTATGGTTTCTCGCACCATCTCCTGCATTACTTGGTACTGGTCTCCATCCAAGACAAGGTAGCAAACTAGACAGCTTTAGTTCAGTAAAGTTTCTATTGTCTAATAAATTATATTGTCTACTACATATACTTCAATTAGGCAGCCAAGGGCTGAGAAAGAAAACATAACATAAACCATTGTACCTTATTTTGTTTAAATCAACTACAAATTTTAGCATGTTGCTGATTCAGAATCAATACTTCAGGATCTGCTTGAGCTAAGCAATTTCAGGATAAATGAGAATACCAGACAAGCTTAAGGTAGCATTAATGACTTCAAGATGTGACTGTAACATCTGAATTAGAATGATCTCAAGCATACAAGCAGAGAAATGTGCTGCTTCTGATCCCTGTTTTATTTAGACTGTTTGACAGCAACTGGCTAATTCCCTCTTAGGGCTAAAGCTGTCCAGTGACTACCTGTGAGAGAGGGGTATTGTGATGATTCATGAGTATTTGTGAAGTTCTTAGAAAGCATGGGGACAGGTTTTCTAGTCCATGCAAGCTGCACACTGAATGGAATCTTAACAGTGAGGCAACAACACTTTCAATTCTCCATTTGATACCAGTATATCTTGACAGGGTTTTGGCATCTAACAGTCCCCAGGAGCATACAGGTGAGCCAGCTAAGTTCCCAGTCCCTCAGGCACCCTCTCTGTGCCAGTATCATCCAGACATACAGGCACAAAGCCATCATGGAAGCTTGGTGCAGCTGCAGAAGTCCTTCGTACAGGATGAAATCTTTACCTCTCCACAAAGCTTTGGACAACACACCTAGCAACATTAGCATTAAAAATTCCTTTCAAGTCCTAGGCAATCTGGTGTGGAAGTATAGCATAATGAGGACAGAAGCTGGTCCTCATCAGCATGTTCAACCATCCAGAAATGTGAGAAAAATAATAAGGAGCTGAATTAATTTATACTCTGGTACTTTAATAACTTGTATCATCAAGGGAAAATTATAGCCAATGTACTGTGCAGCTCAGGTAAAGTCTGTTAATGTATGCACTGCTAAAGTTTTTTGCAAGAAAAAAAAAAAAGAAAAAAAGAAACATTTTAAGCAAGCTTTGGTGTCGTAAGCCTTCTTCTGAGCATGATTTGGTTATACAGTACTTAATAACATGTGGTTTTAATGTAGCTAGTATTTTAACTGAAAATAAATCACTCCTTTGTTGGACCTCTGTCCTCGTTTTTCTAGAATGACATGTGGTTTAAATGTCTAAAAGGAAAAGTGATATAAATTCCATCACATAAGATCTCTGGTGTAGTACCAAGCAGGGTTGTAAATTATCTCCAATATTTGAATTATCATAAAAACATGCCAAGGAAAAAGAGAAGTTCTCCAAAACTGTCCACCACTTGTTCTTAAACCGCCTGATGTTCTAAGGGTCTCCTATTTGTAGATGATCTAATACGCTTTAAAATCAACAGTGACCAAATTTAGTGGAATTTAAATTCACGTTTGAAGCCTTATTTTGTATTATATAACCATGGAAACATTTTAGAGCTGTTGGGCATTACTGAGCTTCAGTATACCCAAAATAAACCCACGAGGAAGATCTCTTATCAAGTTAAGCATCTGAAACTGTGTATAGTCAAAATATTATTCCCAGTTCTGGATTTTTATTTCCCCAAAGTATTACCACAAGGGAATAACTATGACACAGAGATGTGGTCCAAACCTGATAGAAGAATTCTAATAGAGTGATCAAGACAAAAATAAGACATATAAAAACATTCTTCCTCGGAATACTAATGAACATTAGATTATTAATTCAGAGGAGCTAAATTCCTTCCAAATAAAACATCACTGAAGCCAAAAGAAGTTATAATTTTTTTATAATAAATTCATAAGATTACACCATCTAAGCATCTGCCTCTGTGTCCTGGTTGAGATACCTTCTATATCTACTGCGTGATTTCAAACAGATTTTCCAAAGGAAAAGAAGAATTCAGGAGATTTAAGTGCTAGACATTTATGTAAAATAACATCTGAAAAGGATGAGAAAATTAATTCTTGCCATGATTGGGAGAAAGGTTGAAACATGAGCACACACTGAAGTAGCAGACAAGAGATAGGTGTAGGAAAAATTTCAGCTCCTAATAGGCAAAAGTCAGAGATGGGTGAGATCTTAATCTGTAAGGAAATGAACACTCCACATGGTCATTGCTCATGCTCACTTAGTGAAGCCAAATCTGGGACACACTGAAAAGTCCTGTGAGTGTACCCAGACAGTTCTTGTCTATGGGCCCCTCTGTGCTCTTTGCAGAAATGTAACTAATAAATATGACACATATGAATCTCACATTATTAGGATGAGTCTAGGCTTAAGTGGCTTGCCAGAAGGAGTCATTTATAGGAATATTGACATCTAAGGGGATACCAGTGGAGACTCTGACATACAGATTCAGCTTTCCTCTTTATCCAGAACAGGAATAATTCAGATCAGGATGGACCCTTGTTATTTTGAAGCTAAGACTGACAATGAAAGGTGGTGGGCCTTACCTGATACCTCTGTGCTGTTTAATCGGCCCACAGCTTTGATTTTGATCATCATGGACCCTGACCAAAGCAGGCTGAACTATTCTGGGGTGAATGGCATCACACTGATGACAATCTGAGAGCAGAGGGGGCACTCTAAGTCTGAAGGGTGTAGGAAGGATGAAAAGCACTGAAATGCTGTGCATCACTGGAACAAGTCAGCCTTGTTTCACTGTTGTTACATGTGATTTCTAGCTCTAAAAAAAAAAAAAAAAAAACCACAACTTTTTTTTTTTTTTTTTTTTAAATCTGTTTTTGTTTAAACTTTTGGAACCACCTGGAAGAAAAATAAGGATCTTGAAACTATTACTGGTTTCTGACTAGAATTACCACTATACTTTATTTCTCTCCATAGCTTAAGTATTAATAAGGGAACCAGCAGGGTCAAGCTGGAATCTGGCATATGACCTGGTGAAAAGATCGTTAGGTTCTAAGACCTGTAAAATGCTGGCTGAAATGAGGCCTTATTTGCCTATACTCAGACAAAGAGAAAAACTAATTTTGCAGATATGTATGCCCACCTATAATTTTGAATTATATCAATGATTCTCTCATGTGAGACTTATCTTTTCAACTCCAGGTAAATGGGCTTTTACATCCCAGAAGCTTGCTGGAAAAAAAATTTTCCTGGCGTAGAAACTGAGCATGAAAATGCATTAGTTTACCTTAAATTAGCTCATTTGGACTGTATTAGTTGTCAAACTGTGTTGGTACAGGGTTCAATGCATTTTAGCCCAATATGTTGGCCAGTGTGTTTATTGTACCACTGTGACTTAGCATCAAGACTGCAAAGGTAGCTAGAGGTTTAAGAAGACAAATACATTTTGAGGTGCATACCTGAAGACAAAACATGGATGCATGGCAGTGGACAGAAGTACGCAAAACTGAGGAGATTATAGAATTGTAGATTTTTGGGCAGATCTTTCTGGATTGCCCTGGTGACAATTCTGGCATCTAGAGGAGACCGGTGTCTGGAAAGCACAGGTGAAATATAAAGCCATCTTAATTCTGTGCTAAGCTTCTATACACAACAGGGAATACTTTCACTGTAGTGAAATGAAGTGGTCCCAGTACACCACTGCAGAATCCAGAACCACATTCTGTCACGCATGACACCTGGGAGCACAGGACTTCCTGCGATAGCACCGAAGTCTATAGGAAATTGCAGTACCCAAGGAAATTCTGGAAACAGAACTAGCCTCTCAAACAGCACAGGACTGACTTGGAACTAATGTCATTTCACGCCTTATTTCCAACAGTACAGCACCAAAAACATTGAGCTTCAGAAAAAAATAAAACATCCATCAGCTTCAATTCTGCTGGCTAATCCTTGAATAATATATCACACAGAAAGAAGTTTATTACTGCGAAGTAGAAGTTTATCTTTAAAACAATGACACAAACTCATCAAGGGTGTAAACACCATCTCTAAAGTGACATTTAATACAATTGAATTTACAGCAACTTTGGGGCTCTACAGGGAGATCTAACCCAGATTCTCTCATGGAAAAGTAAACAGCTTGCCAAAAAAATAGATAAATCTCCTGCAAAGATTTTGATTCAGTTCATCTGCTGTTTCTTGGTTTGCTATATATTTCAGTACAACTAAAGTACCTTTCCCAGTCCCAATACACTGAGCAGACTTTGCTTCCATTCAAAGAGATTACTGTGTGTGACATGGGCTTGTTATGTATTTATGCATAAAATA